CATTGAGAGATAGTGTTTGTGGCTAAAATTAATGTTTTAAAAAATATTAAACCTTACACCCTGAGGCGAGGTTCTATTTTTTTATTGTATTTATATTAATTTAATTGTTTAGGTTAATATCTAACTAAAATTTTATTGAAAAATATGAGTTTTTATGCATATATAACTTCTTTCGATAAGCTTGTGTTACGTGGTGTGACTTTAACTTTTGAATATTGTATTTGTTACATAATTTATTACATTTTGTTTTGTTTTGCTTATAGCATAAGTTGTTTATGCGTGTTTAAAATTCTTCTCAAACAATATATTAATGTTAATTATTATATTTGAAATTAAAAGTGAATGATGTTTGTTGCTTCTATCTATCGCATAACGATGATAAGATAGACATGGCTAGAGTGATTCATAGTGACCACATTTCATTGTTAAATACGTTGTAGAAATAGTGAAGTTATTTCTTTATTTATAATTTAGATAATGTTTTATTGTTTAGACTGTATTTAGGAATTGCTTTTTTTAATTACTGTATTTGTATTGCTATTGCCTTTACTATATTTAATATGCAGGAACTTGTTCGTCAAACGTTATATTAGTTGTGTGCATGGAACTTGTATTGTTATTGGCTTACATTATTGTTAGGTGACAACTTTAGGTGAGAATGTTAAAGTTTGAAAGTTTGCAATTGTAATAACTAATGGTCAATATAGTTTACTTATGCTTGTATTTTTATATAAATTATTGTTTCATGGATGGTTGCAATGTCATTTTCAAAGTTTTTATTTCATATTTATAAGTTAAACATTTAGAGGTCTTAGTCTAATATTCTATTTTTTGAGCAAAAAAGTTTGCTTTTATTTAGTGAATTATAATTGATGTTATAATTATTGAATAATACAAGTTTATTGCACCTCTTATATTTTTTCATAAAATATACATTGACATATAATGGTACAGGACATTCCTTTCTCAATTATATAAGGTAGTATAAGGTGGTTCATTTATTCTGGAACATTTCATGCTGGGCTTTTTTCTTTTGTTTTCTTAAACTTTTGAGTTGTAATCTCGACTCATCATGATTTGCAGTTCATTTTGGTTGTTAGTTGTTGTAATGCTTTGATTCATCTTCTCTTTGAAGTATTAAACACTCTCTTGTATGAATGATATAAATCAAATTGTTATAAATAAAATATTCCAAGCACCATCAAAATTTTGTTTCATTTTTAGGCTAAAAGATATTTGCGCTAATGAAGCACTTCTTTTAACTTAAACATACATCTTAATTTAAAAAAAAGCATTAATATTGTTTTAACACTAATCATATTGATAAGGTTAATCCAAACCTTTTAATTTGGTACTTAAAATTACACAATTTTTGGATTTAAATTAATAAAAACACAAGGGGAAATAATAAGAGTATTCGATAAAATGATTATGGTGAACATACATAGATTATTGCTTAATGTGCTTCTTTGATCATTACCAAATTAACTGAAGGATTTAAAATGGGTTTTATTGGAAATTAATTATTATTATTATGACATGCATGACGTTGAATAACAAAGTTATCTCTTGGAATGAAGGGGTTTGGTTTTAATCATAAAGTTATGATTGAGAGAGTTGTCATATAGCATCATGGTGATTAAAAAACATATGGTATGTGAGAGTGTAGATAAAAGGACTAGTTGTGTAAAGGAAAGATTTAGCACCCCTACTTAACCTTATCTATGATAATTTATATTGTTGATTGATTGTTACTTTTAAGTTATGTTTCTATTTATTGGTCTTATTTAATATTTAAAGCGGGACCTTGTCAAATTAAATCTTAACTGTTATAAGGCTCAAATTTTAGCATTGCATCAATAATCAAGATAAAAAATTAAAAATATATAAAGCATAAAAAATTCTTAAATCAAACATCAATAAAAAATCAATATCATCATCAATGTTAATAAAAAAAACCACATGAACCCTATCTATTAGCTGGTTGCAATGTCAATATATGTTTAAAATATAGCATGAAAAGCCCAAGATACAAAATAAATAAGTCAATTAACAACATCTTAAGTTTCAATTTCGTGCCATTAAAATAATGTTTCAGTTAATGATTTGTAAATAAACAACTACATTATTTTCCCTACTTGTTTTTTTTTTGCAGTTTTCAAGCTATTTTTCATGTTATGCCTTCTAAAAAACAATATGGAGCTTTAAATAGCTTTTGCAACAACAAACATGTATATGTCACAAATAAACAAGCTCATAGTTAAAATTTCGGTTGATTTTGAAATGACATAAGAAGAAGGTGACAAATCCAAGTTCTAATTTTGAAGAGAATGGAATTTTTTTTTATTCTTGATGTAGGAATAAGAATAAAAACTAATTCAAAATACTTTTTCTATACCCTAATAAACAGACGACATGGTTATTTACTTACTAAAATTTGACAATTAATTAATGAGTTTTTCAATAAAATAGTGATTTTTAAAAATAAAACAATAACGAGTAAGTGATTTTTAAAGATGTGTGTAGTGCTGCAAATATGTTTATGGTGGAAAAATAAGGGTTATTTTAGAAGCGCTTTTTTTTTTTTGCAACAGTTATTTCTCTCTCATCATGATGATGTGGTTGTTAGTAGATAAAAAAATGAGATGAGAACCCTTGGATATTCTCTTGAAATTGAGGTTCAACCTCGATTTTTGGTGAGTTTCACATTATAAAAACGTCGATTCAAATTTAACCGAACATATATTTTTGTACTTCTTTCAAAACTTAATCATTATCTCAATAATGAATACCATCTAAAAACTTGTTTGACAATATAGTTGATTGTGTGTTTGTAAAAAAATTGATTTTTTTGTTATATTTTTAGATTATTTTGACATGATGGTATCAAAAATAAAATTTTAAAATACAATAAAAGATAGTATTTGATGCATTTCTAAATAAATAAGCATTTTAAAAAACAATTTCACAATACAAAATATTACCTGTATCCTGTAATATGATATTTTTAATTTCAATAAAAGTAAAGTTAGGGATTTAAAATAATAAAGAAGTGCAAATATATATCAATCCTGTGATATGGTATTTAGTTGTGTAATAATGATTATTTTTAAAAATATTTTTATTAAAAATAAATTAAAATAAATAAAAAATAAAAAAAATAAATTTTAAATGAAAAAAATAAATTTTTATAAAATATTATTTAGCAAAAGTCGCAGCCATGGTCTAGAACAAAATATCTATCTGTCCTTGACAGGAAAGGAAATCCCACAAAATATCTAGTAAGTTGAGTTTACATATTTGGCCTCGTTTTCCTTAGAGTCAATGGCATGGCACCGCTCTATCCTTTTTATATTCTCGGCTTTTGATATGTTCCCAACAACCAGCCTGCCCAAAGACTCGCTAAACAGGGCTAAGCTCGTCATTTTACCCTTGGAGAAAACTCACGTGTACGCGGCATTTACTGTTGAGCCAGCAGGTGATTGATTAGCTGGCAAATATTACTATGGTCTGAAACCGGTTGTATAGCCCGTTATTTTTGTTATTTTTTTTAAAAAAGCATTCTAATATATAATAATATGACTAGTCTACAGTCCCCGAAGAGCATTTAGACGTGATTCTAATATATCTTTGCATCGGTGTGCGGCAATTTAAAAAAATTAATTTTTTTATTTAAAAATAATTTTTTATTGTTTAAACCTGTTAATGCTAAAAATAAAAAATAATATTATTTTAATATATTTATTTCTAGCTTCGTTTGTTATGACAGAGACAGAAACTAATATTCCTGAACATTGGAATGCTTTTCACATTTAAAATTAAGATATTTGCCTTAATTTCTAAATAAGTAATTTATGTCTGAATTAATAAAAAATCTCGGATTTAATAATTTAGAGCTAAAATAACAATATGAAAAACAAAGATACATGGTATCCAGATCAACAATTTAAAGACTTAGATGGGTTTACCTCACGATTATTTAGATAGCATTTGTACGCCATTCATTGCACGCAGGGAAAGTTTAGGGGCAATACATACTAATTAATTACCGTTAAATAATGAACGGAAGGAATGATATACGATGGGCGCAAAATCCTCCCGCTGCTTTAAATAACAGATTTGCAATCGATTCCCCCTATTCTAGGTGTTTACGGTTATTTGGAAGATCAAAAGAAATAAAACGCCACATTCAGGATCGTTTCATGCTCCCCGTTCAATACCTGCTTTCAGGGGTGTATTAACCTTTATTTTTAAATATATTCCGTTTGAAAATAAATTACATTTATATTTGTTTAATTATTCTTTATAGTTCTTAAAAAAGAATTTTGATATACCTCGTACTTATTTTCACCTGTCTTCCCAGTTTAGTTCTTGAGAGACATGGACTGTTAAACTATACAGTAAATAATAAATTTGAACCAATCATATGTCATGAATTAAATTTACAGCTCTAATTCCTTTTTCTCTCCCATGTGGTTAGGGTACTTTAAAATTATTTTCACGTGGTTCCCTTGTCACATCTAGTGGGGCACAAACTATATTAAATGCAAATTCAGGAGGAGAAGTCACAATTACATCAATTTCACATTTCAAAAATATTAAATTTTCAAATTTTATTTTGAATTTTTTTTATTAAAATTTTTAAATATTACTCATGGAACAATATTGATATAAATAATTAATTTTTTAATAATTTTCAATAAAATATATTACTTGTGCAAATGTAGCCCTATAAAATCAGCAAAATGGAGCACTAAAATTTAAATCAAAGCATACTCAAATCATATAGAATAGGATTTCTGTGCACGCAACATTATACAAAAAAGAGGAACTGAAACACAAATAAGTGAAATGGCTATTGATAGCCCAGCTGAGAAAAAGCACAAGGATTGCCAGCATGGCAAAAAAAAAAAAAATTTGAAATCCCGCCCAAACCCGCGGGCAAGCCAAGGGAAGGCAGGGGCAGTGATTAATTCAATTTTAATAACTTCTTTTGTTTCCTAAAAACCCCTTCCCCTATCCCTCTCTTTAAGCCACACACAAACCCGCACCCAAAATTACCAAATCTCCTCATCTCCTCAAACAAACCCTAGAAACTCTCTCTCCAAGGTAAACTCGCCCCCCTTTGCCGCTGACTCACCCCGAGTTGCACCGTTTTTCAAAGTTTTTCCTCCGTTCTCACCGGTTTTCGACGTTTTATTTGCAGAAATCATCATGAAAGGCGGTAGATCAAAGTCTGATTCCAGAAACAATGACGCCAAGTGAGCTTTCGCTGTCTTAATTGTGTTTACATAATATTAATTAGATCTGAGATCTCCTTGTGTTTTTATGATCTTTGTTCGTGGTTTTTTGCTGCTTTTTGTGGTTTTTGATTGTGATATTGTTTGTTTACTAGGCTAAAGAGAAAAGGATCTGGAGCTGGAACCAAAGCGTCGAAGAAGGCCGCGAAGGATCCAAACAAGCCTAAAAGACCTGCTAGTGCTTTCTTCGTTTTCATGTAAGCAACTCTGTAATTCATTTTTTTTCTTGGCCTTAAGAGTTATTGTGTACTGATTTTATTTTATTTTTAATATTGAAGGGAGGATTTTAGGAAGCAGTATAAGGAGTCTCATCCAAACAATAAATCTGTTGCTGCTGTAAGCTATCAAAACAGATATTGAATATGTTTACTTTTATACTGAAATTCTTGTCTATTTGTTCGATTTTAATAGCTAAATAGAGAGTAAATTTATTGATTTATGAAACTTACAATTATTTTTTAAAAACGTTTAATTTCCAAACAAAGTGATCTGTTTTTTTTTTTAAAAAATTGCTAATCATGTAATTGCAATGGATGATATCGCTAAGTACGTAATCGGAATATGTTTATTTTTTGTTGATTTTGTAAATATTTTGGTTGCTGGATGCAAATGTAATTATGTGTTTTGCTGTGAATCAGGTTGGTAAAGCAGGTGGAGACAAGTGGAAATCCATGAGTGAAGCTGTGAGTATTTATAATGATTAATGTGTCACTGATTTGGTTTCTGAACTGGTCATTTGTTTATGGGTTTCAATTTGTTAATAATATTAGGAGAAAGCTCCTTTTGCGGCTAAGGCCGAGAGGAGAAAGGTTGAATACAATAAGGACATGGCTGCTTACAACAAAAGACTGGTACCCCTTTTGCCCTTGATTGCCTTTTATTTTTGGAAATTGTGCTTCTATGGAGAGTGATTGTTGTTTGCTGTCAAAATGAATGGTTTCTTCTGGGTGATGTTAGGCTGGAGGAAACGCTGATGAAGAATCTGACAAGTCCAAGTCGGAAGTGAATGACGAAGATGAGGAAGATGAGAGTGATGGGGAGGTGGTTTTCAAATCCAAACTTGATCTAAACATGTATTATTTTTTCTGAGATTCTTAAGAGTTTTGCGCTGATAATCTTGTTTGGTGGTGGTTTTATAGGAGGAAGATGATGATGAGTAAGTTGATGACGAGGAGCGGCTGAGGATGTGAGGATTTAGTGATCGGCAATTTGTTGTAGAATTGCTTTGATTGTTGTAATCACTTGCATTTCTAGCTTTTAAATAGTAGCTCCTTTTTTAGCTGTTGTTTAGATCTAGCCTAGGATAAAACCAAAGGAATAGTTTCAGGAGCAGCAGCCCTGGAGCTCATATTGTGGTATGTACTTATCAAATATTTTCATGCTCAATGAAGTGATTTCTTCCCCTAATGCCTGTGCTTTGATGGCTGTTCATTTACCTATCATTTATTAGGATGGTGTTTGTTCATTTGACCACAGAAGATTTTGGTGGTCCTTTAGCATCTTGTTTATACTCCCGCATGCTTTTCTTGCAACACCACAGAGGTTACTAGCTTTTGACTAATAGAGGAGGTATTTGGAGAATGATTCTCCATGCTTTTTTGTGTTGTTTGACTCTACTCCCTGGTCTCTTCTGGCCCTTGTAATTTTGACTTTCCCATGACGTGTTTCTTGCTGCTAATCATTGTGTTCCGCCTTCATGGGTGGCTCGAGTCAAAAGTGCTGTTTTGATCTCTGATTGCTTTCTCAAAGGATTGACAAGAGTGGTGGTGCAGACCCTGGCAAGTATTCCCACGAAATTCTCCATCTGAACAATTTATTTTACTCCAAAAGGTGGTCTCTTAGGAAGAATCTTGCGATGACTAGATCAGCATTATGCCATGTTCATGTAACTGCTCGTATGATCATGTGTTTGTACGGTAGCAAATGATGGGGGATTTCATCTGTTTGGCAGCTTTCACGGGCTGTCAGTGTGTGTGATCATTGCTGACACTCCTTTTGGATTGCTCACCAAACAAACTTCAGAGGTGGCTTCTACGTTTGCTGGCCATTGGAGAATATTGCAAGGTCGTATAGCTCCCGCTGGGTTAAGAAATGGTTGCGCAGACAGGCACTCCTGACGTTGACTGATAAGTTGATAGTACCGTATTACTGTGATGGCCAATCTGGATTTTCCTTTGCTATGAAAAGTTCTTATATAGTATTATTTCAGCCTTGCATTTTGGACTCTTTTTTTGGTTGTTTACAAAATAGTTTTTATATATCTAATATCATAATAATATAAAACTATTCATTCAATTTTAATAGATATTAAATTATTTATTGAACTTCACATGGCAATATCTAAGATGATTTTTGACAATTTTACCTCGGATTGTAAAAATTTAGCTATTTATCTAAATTCCTTGTATGTTTTTTAAGAACAATTAATATCTCATCAAAAAGTTTATTTTATTTATTTATATATATGTACAAGCATATAAATTGGACAAGCAAAATAAAACTTTTTAATGCATAAGCATATTATTTGGAGATCTATCCATCGAGGAATATGGATAGAAAAAACAAAAAGAAGAGTTTTGCACATCAACTAAATTAAAATAAAAAAAATTGGGACTTAATAAAAAAAAATCCCTTTATATATATATATATATATATATATATATATAGTTGGAGTAATTATTTCTGACGTGCCCCTTAATTTGCTAACTTGATACCATCTCTTAATTGTTTTTAACCTCAAATTACGATATATATATATATATATAACAAAAGAGAGAGAGAACGAAAAGGAATAGGATGCACCTCGCAAAATGGCTGCTGGAGCAATCCTAATTCCTAAGGTTACATGAAATGCTCATGGAGAAATTGTCTACCAATACATGAACGAGAACGGCCGATATATTTGAAAGCACAATCATTTTATTTCAAGATATTAAAAAAATAATTAATAAAAGGAGAGCTAAGATAACCTAGGTTTACAATACAACCTAGACACATCTAGATTTATAAGGTCAGCCCGTGTGTAAAAATAAAACCCATACAAACATGCCCCTTTAATTTTTTTTGAAGTCAATGGACAACGCCTTGTCTACTTGGAATACGAATCTTCCCATTGTATGAAAATCATGTTTGAGTTTTGGAAAGAAAAAAAAACTCCAATCTCAACTTTTTTATACTTTAAAAAACACAATAAAAAAATCATAGAGATCTCTAGAACTCTCTAATCTTGTTTTAAGAGTTTGAGATGATTGAATGATTTTTCAAACATCATTATAATTATCTATTTAAATAAAGGATTTTTTTTGAAGAAATAATAAGAAAAACAATAACTTTAAAAAAAGAAGGTGAAGAAATAATAAGAAAAACAATAACTTAAAAAAAAGCCAACAAAACCAAGCCTAGACATTCCTGATAAAAGAACAACTCAATACACTTGGATTTAAAAATCATGTTCTTGTGCTTGCCTTTTGCACACTTGAATTTTTCAGGCTAAACATCTCCCCCACAACCATTTTGTAAAAATAACAAACAACACATTATCTACTTGAGAAGATAATGCATCATTCAATGCAATAATTTTTTATCATCTTTGATGGTTAGAAAATTAAGATTTGAGTTTCAGAATAAAAAAAAACTCAATTTCAAGATCTTTTAATCTAAAAACATATATACAAGAAAAAAAAAAACATCATAAACACTTTTTAAACCATATTTTTAATAACAATGCACATTTAGTTAGTGTAAAAACTCAAAACCAAATCAAAATAAATTTTTTAGGTCCATTCTACTTTTTTCTACATCATTGAAGGCTGAAACTATTTCTATTGAGCTTATATTTTAAAACTCGTTAACATCAAAATTAGAGTTATTGGTTATGAAAATATGGCTGAATTAAAGTTCTTTCTTCTCTCACCTTCTGATGATACTCCTCTTCTCTTAAATATAAGGGATTGAAATGTAAAAAAGTAATGTTTTATGTATGAAATGTTAACTTCAAAAACATTAAGGGTCAAAGTGTAAAAAGACATGCCACATTTTTATTTCTTTTTTGTAAATTTCAATAATTTTCTTTTCAATTTTTTTAACCGAATCCTATACTTTCATTTTGTAATAGCAATATGTAATGTAATACTTAGATAATTTTTTCCACAATGCATATGCAATATCATGCATAACAAATCAAATATCAACAAATAGAATCATGCCAACATAACTTGTGAAGGAAAATGAAAGAAATGAAATTTAATATTCAAAGAAAAAAATCTAAAAAGAAAAAAAAATGCCATAAATCACATTAAAACACAAATTTTTTATTGTGTTTAAAAAATATCTAGTGGTATCTTGGTGTCTATTTTAGAGAAATAAAAAGATATAAGTAGCACAAAAAAATAATAATTTGAGATATTTTTATTATTTTTAATGAGCCTTTAAATTTTAATTAAGAGGAAGATATAAATCAGTGATGGAGCACCATGAAACTAATGTTAAAACACCTGGGACCAATCCTGGGCCCTCGAGGCTTCCTAAATATGCTTTGTGCATATTTATTCACGTGAAATATCCACCTTCAACCAACTAATTAGGCTTAATTATCTAAGCACTGTTGCTCCAAATCCCTCCATCTTTACCTGTTAATCAAAGGATCAGCACTAGCAGGAAAGAAAACGAACATGGAAATGTCTATTTTTTATAGGACAATCCATACCAAACGGGCCCAAAAGAGTCATGGTCCATGCCCATGTGCACATGACCCCCACTATGTTCAGAGCTTGTGCTTGCCCCTTGGCATGGGGTTGTGACCCATTAGAGAGAGACAGGAAAAAAAATAAGAATGATGGCAACAGCTCCTGGAAAATGCTTCCTGGTCACCGGCCCTCCGGTAAGTAACATCAGAATCACTCTTTTTTACCTACAGTTTTCAATGAATTTCTACGGGGACATGTCTCCACTCTCTTGCAAAGTCTCAAAGAAATGCGCTGTGTAAATGGCAGGGTGTAGGTAAAACCACACTGATAATGAGAGTGTTTGAAACCCTCAAAACCTCAAACCCCACCTTGAAAATTCAAGGTTTTTACACTAGTAATGCCTCTCTCTCCATCTCTCACTCTTTGCTTACCATCTCTTGTTAATTACACTTTATTTTTTTAAAGTAGAAAACACATGTTAATAATAGTTGTTTTTGTGATAATCAGGGGAGATTAGAGAAGGGATTGAGAGGGTTGGCTTTGAAGTTGTCACTTTAGATGGACGCAAAGCCCCTCTTGCCTCCACCACCATTTCTACGTAATTTGTCTCTCTTTTATAATCATTTATGTAGAACTCAAGTGCAAGCAGTTAAAAAGCAAGGATCTCTATTACGTATACCTGGGATTGCATAAAATTATCACTTTAGTTGATGATTGTCCCTGGCTTCTTCTTTTTTAATTCGATGCATTTGAACTTCAAATCCTGAAAAAATCAATTAAAGAAATGCAATTGTTACTTTTGGGATAAAAAATCAAACAGGGTTTTTTCTTGCTTTTTGAATTTTTTTTAACATTAGCTACTGAATTGTGTCCCATGTATAAGGTAGATGTGGTGATTTCATTTGATTTAGAATTACTGTCTCTATATCGGTATTTGCCAGCAAGATTCTGTATTGGTTCAACTAGGATGGTTTAATTTCCTGTCATTAGTTATTTGTTGCTTTACTTGTCTTGTTAGTTATCTCCAGCTGAAGTATCTCATAATTTCAGCCCAGAGTCTATCAGATGGCCCACAGTTGGGAAGTATAAAGTAGATATTGCATCATTTGAGGCACTGGCATTGCCTGAGTTGCAGGTCAGTTGACTTCTTTGAACAATCTATTGGTAAATAATGCAAGTCTCTTCATGGCCCTTCAAGTAATGCACAGTTTTTGATCAATTTTTATCAGCTTATTTGGTTGCATAAAGACTTGTGTTTCACTGCAGATTAGAGAAGATACTGATCTATTCATCATTGATGAAGTTGGCAAAATGGAGTTGTTTAGTTCATCGTTCTTTCCTGCTGTTCTAAAAGTTCTTGAATCAAATATCCCACTTTTGGCTTCTATACCTATTCTAAAATTTGGCCGTGATATACCTGCAGGTATTTCAGCCGAACACACTTCTCAAAAATGCAATATCTGCAATCACTTTCACAATCAGTAGACTGAATGTTCTCTTATTTTTTATAGATTCCTGTTTATACCACAGTGCTCAGAGATTAGGTAGAAAGGGATAAATGCACAACATTCTAGCAAAAGTAGTTTGAAAAATATTTAAAATGCTCTTATAAATGGCTTCATTTTTATTCTCCTTTGAGAACTTAGAGGATTATTGTCTCATTAATCTCAAAATTGAGCTAACATATAGCACAAGACCCTGTACTTTTGGGAAGAAGTTGCA